GTCGGCTGCCGCCGCTGGGCCCGTCTACCTCCACGGGCCCCCGCCACAGGCCTACCTGCGTCTGCTTGTCTCCACCGCCGGGCCTGTCTACCTCTGTGGACCGCCGCTGGGCCTGGATGTCTCTGCCGGCTGCCGCCGGGTCTGAATATCCCTGTCGGCTGCCGCCGCTGGGCCCGTCTACCTCCACGGGCCCCCGCCACAGGCCTACCTCAGAGGCTTGTTCTTAATTATGGATGCCCAGCCTAAGCTTGGCTTAGTTTCTTGCCAACTGCCAACTTTTTTTTTTTTTTTTTCTTTTCTTTTTTCTTTTTGGTTTTTTGAGACAGGGTTTCTCTGTGAAGCAATCCTGTCTATCCTGGAACTCACTCTGTAGACCAGGTTGGCTTTGAACTAACTCACAGAGATTCTCTTGGCTCTGCCTCCCAAGTGCTGGGATTAAAGGCATGTGCCACCACCACCTGGCAACTTTTCTTAACTTTAAATTATCCCGTCTATCTTTTGCCTCTGGGCTTTTCCTTTTCTATTCCTGTATACCTTTCTTTGCTTCTTACTCCATGGCTTGCTGTGTAGCTGGGTGGCTGACCCCCAGAGTCCTCTTCCTTCTCTGGCTCCTCCTTTCTTCACTCTTTTTTTCCTCCATCTCTTATCTACCTCCCCCCCTCCTAGATTTCTCCTTCTACTTATTCTCTCTGCCTGCCAGCCCTGCCTATCTCTCTCCTGCCTTGCTATTGGCCATTCAGTTCTTTATTAGACCCTCAGGTGTTTTAGACAGGCACAGTAACAGCTTCACAGAGTTAAACAAATGCAACATAAACACCTCTTTCTCTTTTCCTTCTCTTGAGACAGGCTGGTCTTGGACTTCTGTTTTTCTTGCCTCTACCTCCCAAGTGCTGTGATTATAGGTATGCTCTACTACAACAGGCCGTATCTATTGCTGAGGTGGAGTCAGAGGTGGTTGTGAGCCATCTGACTTGGCTGCAGGGAACTGAACTGTGAGAGCACTGTGAGTAAGAACAGTTGAGTCATCTTTCCAGGGTTTTTGATAACTCTTTCACAGTTTCTCAAAAATCTTATCCTGTATGAAAAGGGGCCACATGTTATAGATGTAGCAGTGGTTGAGATAGACACAATTATTTTTTTTTCCTTTTCAGGGTCTCTATGTAGTTTTGGCTGGCCTCAAGAACTCAGAAATCCTCCTGCCTCTGCCTCTGCTGGGATTAAAGGCGTGTATTACCACACCCAGTGAGATGGACAATTCTTACCTTCACAGGTTGAGACAGGGTTTGTCTGTGTAGCCTTGGCTGTCCTGGAACTTGCTCTGTAGATCAAGCTGGCCTCAAATTCAGAGAGATCCATCTGCCTCTGCCTCTCAAGGAATTAAAGGCGTGCACCACCACCGCCTGGCTACCTTCACAGGTTTTCTAGTCCAGTCTGTGAGAGAGACGTGAATGAACAGGCATGGTGGTCAAAGACTGCTATCAAAATACTCTGCAAACTGGATGGTCTATTTTCTGCAGAATTGCTAAAAATGAAGTGTTGGGGATGGGCCAGTGAGATGGTTCACTGGGTACAGGCGATTGCATGCAGGCCTGATGATGACTCAAGTTCAATCCCTGGATCCCACAGGGTGGCAGTGGAGAACCAATTCTACAAAGTTGTCCTGTAACCCACATAAAAGGGGTCTCACACACACAAAATGAATAAATTAAATAAGGGAGGCTGGAGATATGACTAAGTGGTAAAGCAACTGCTTATCATGCGTATAACCTTAGTTCAATGTCCAATGTTTGGTATTAAAGACTAGATTTAAAAAAATTATGTATATGTTTGTATGTTTGCATGCTATGGTACACACGTGGAGCTTAATTTGGGAGTCAGTATTCACTTTCCACCTTGTTGAGGCAGAACTTGTCTTGTGCTGCTGTGTGTCTTCGGCTAGCTAGCTTGGTAGCTTTGGGTGTTTGTCCTGATGCTCCAGCGTCTTGCTCTATAGGAGTGCTGGGGTTATAGATGCAAGCTGTCACATCTGGCTTTTTGTGTGGATTCTAGGCATTGAATTTGGGTTAGGGTCCTCAGGCTTGCATGCCTAAAGCTTTTACCCACTAAGTGATTTTTCTCAGCCCCAAGGCTAGATTTTTGTTGTTAAGACCACATGCATTACTGTTGTATGTCTCTGGTAGCGGGTGGGGATCTAGGGGAGACTTGTAAACATTTCTTCAGCTGTCAGCCCCACTGCTTTGCCCTCCTGCAAGGAACTCAGCTTTTCATTTCTTAGCCAGTCAAGGATTCTGCTGACAGAATGTTTTACTTCTTGGGCCTTTTTGCTTCCTCCCATTTGTTAGCAGGCCATAAAAAAATGCCCTAGTCAGTTGCCCTCTGTTTCTTTTCGTTCATAGTGTTTGTGACAAGTTCTTTGTACTGTCATATTATTTCATGTCCCCTTTGTCCAGTGAATTTGACATTTAAGCTTCATTTTATTATACTTAACTGTGGCTTTATAAGAAGCAGGTAAATATATGCGGGAATCCTAATCTGAATTAATTCATTCAGTCATTTGAATGGCGTAGATATCAATATAATATATTTATTATAACAGTGCACAAAATGGGAATGTCCCTACACACTAGTCTGAGTGCTCATGGTGATTAAAGGCTACCAGGCCCGGCCAAATGAATATTTCAAGTATTTTTTAGATTTATTTTATGTGTATGAGTGTTTTGCCTGCATGTATGAATGTGCCTGGTGCCCATGGAGGCCAGAAGAGTGTTGTATCCCCTGGAACTGGAGTTACAAATGGTTGTGAGCCTTCATGTGGGTGCTAGAATTGAACCCAGGTCCTCTGGCAGAACAAGTATTCTTAACCACTGAATCATCTTACCAGCTCCCAAATATTTTTGCAAAAGAATACCATAAAACTATTTAAAGTAGTTTCAAGCCACTAACTCTTCTTTTTTAAAGCTCTTCACAGAATATGGCCGTCTGGCAATGGATGAAATTTTCCAAAAACCCTTCCAGGTAAAGCACTATGGATGTTATTCTCTATTTTTTTTTTTTTTTTTTTGAGCTGAGGATCAAACCCAGGGCCTTGCACTGGATGTTATTCATATCTTTGTTTAGTTCACAGTTCAGCCGATCTGCCTGTTTTTAATATGACCTGTAACCTACAGGTTTTGTTTTTTGTTTTGGTTGAGACAGACTCTTGTTATATAGCTCAGACTGGTCTCCTTCAGCATGCCTTTGCCCCCTTTGAAAAGATTAGGAGAAAGCATTACAATAACTGTAATTAATCTTGCATATGCACTTGTACAGTGTTATAATTCTGTTCTGCTCTGTCACAATAGACACTGATGTTTTTGATTCGAGACTGGAGTTTCCCTTATGAATATAGCTATGGACTGCAAGGAGGAATGGCGTTTTTGGATAAGCGTTTACAGGTAAGTGGGAAATCTGAATAATTATCTAAAAGTAACTTTCTCATTTGCTTTTGACTGTTGTGTTTAAAGCATATTATTGAAAATGATACTCTGTAAAATGTTTATAAATATTAGCATAAACCAGTGTACTTTTTTGTTTAAAATTTTTGAAATTATATGTATATATTTGTATGTGTGGTAGAGAGGTGAGCACTACAGTACTCATATGAAGGTCAGGACAACTTGTGGGAGTCAGTTCTCTCTTTCCACCACGTGGGTCTCAGGGATCAAACTCAGGTCAGTAGACTTGGTGGCAAGTACCTTTACTTGTTGAGCCACCTTTCTGGCCCTAGTATTTTTTTTTTATGGTAAAATTGAAGAGCCTGGGTATATAATATATAGGCACCGTAGAGGAACTCTGAGCAAAAGGCCGTTATAATTATTTTGAGTTGTTATTTTGAATCAGGTTCTATTTGTGCCTTTAGAATGTCATGTTTAGAATTGTAGTTCTGTCCTTCGTCATTATATTTTGCTTTGGCATATATGTATAAAACAAGCCTAGTCTGTTTCCTGAAATCGAAGCACAGGAGACCTTTGTCAGTCACTGCTAGCTTATTGGATCCTCCTTCTGGCCAGCAAGCCTGCTGTTCTTCTTAAATGTTGTGCAGTACCCCCCCCTTTTTTTTTTTAAACTTTATTTTATTTATGTACATTGGTGTTTTGCCTGCATGTATGTCTATGTGAGGTGTCAGATCTTGGAGTTACAGACAGTTGTGAGCTGTTATGTAGGTGCTGGAAATTGAACCCAGGTCCTCTGGAAGAACAACCAGATCTCTTAACTGCTGAGCCATCTCTTCAGCCTGCAATACCCTTTAAAACCAAGTCTTTAGTACCTGCTCTCTGTTAGCTATGACAGCCAAGTGCACATTCATGTACTTACTGCTTCTTGGGGTTCTGGCTCTTCCTATTGGTCACTCTGATCTGTCAGTCAGGAAGTCTTCTTTCCTTTGTCCTTATGCTAGTGGCTGTTAGTGAAGAATAGCAAATCATTTTTGGCTGGTAAAGTGTTGATTTTCCTTGGCAGGTGAAGGAACATCAACATGAAGAAATTCAGAACGTTCGAAATCATATTCACTCATGTTTCTCGGACGTTACCTGTTTTCTCTTACCACATCCAGGGCTCCAGGTGGCTACAAGTCCTGACTTTGATGGGAAATTGAAAGGTGTGTTACAGACATTGTTACTATACATATGATTTGATCTTTGGAATCCTAGAATGAGCAGTAAGTGTCAATTATAAGTCAAATGGATCGTTATGAGAATGAATATGGTCTTATAGAAAGAGTAGTGTTAACCTAGTTCAGATTTTGCTCTTGACCTACTGTGACCATCAGAAGTATTTTGCCTGTTTCACAAGCTGAAAATAAGATGTTGTTCTTTAGGGATCTTTCTAAGAGACATATTATAGTTCCCACTTTATAAGAGATCAAAGTGCTAAATAAAGGAAGACTGAAAGCTAAGACAGCTAATATTTTTCAAGTAAAATTATCTTCCTCAGGAAAAAGTACCATGATACATGGCTAAGTTACTGTTTAAGTTTATTTGTGCTTGTAGCAAAACCTGATGCTGGGTCATGGGCTAACGTCAGGAAGTACTGAGTAGTTAGTTGGTAGGTTAGAGAATCAGAGTCAGGATGCTTGGGTACCATTATCTTATTTTGTTCCCTATTCCTGGAGGCCTTGAGTCACCTGATGGCTGGCCCTCAGTTTATACTTGTTAAGCAGTTTGTTTATAGGCTGATCAGGGCCTCTTAATTTTTCCTAAAACACTGATCATAGTAGGTGCCAGCTTTGCAGTCCAGTTGGGTTCCCACTGTTGTGCAAAGTGCTTTGAAACTAAATTCACAGTAATTCCATGAAGTTACATCATTTCTTTATCTCAACATGAGGAAGCTGGTGAAAACAAGGAAAGTTAAGCAACTCACTCCAAGTTCTCAGCTAAAAGCAATGGGGCAGAGGTTCACATCCGGGTTCTGGTGCCTTAAAGCCCACACCATGGGAATAGAAGTTCATTGTTCTTTGGAGGAAGTCTTTAGAGAATATGTACTTGTTGAGTTACCAGGACAACTTGCCTCTTTAAAAATAGTCTCAGTAAATAGGAAATACATAGTTTTAATTTTTTTGATTTAGTTAATCTAAGAAGAATAATATATTTGTCTAAGTCAAGGCTAAAGAGATAACTCAGTAGTTTAGAGTGTTCTTGGGTTCTGTTCCTATCACCCACATCAGATAGTTCACAACTGTCTGTAACTGCAGTTTCAGGGGATCTGCTGCCTTCTTCTGACCTGGGTACTGGCATGAACATAGGACACATATGTACATGCGCCAACCCCCCCCCCCCCTAGAAGCAGATACTTAACTTTTTTTTTTTTTAAATTTATTCTATGTGTATGAGTGTTTTACCTGTACATGTGGGAGCCTACAAAGATTTCCTCATTAGATCTGAGCTTGCTTTACAAAGTAGGGCTGCATTAGGGGATGGCTTGACCACGTGCATGGTTACCAGGTATTTGGGATGGTCTGCACTTGGCAGAGACAGTCAGGGCCCAATGGGTTAGGATCCAGGCCCTCCTGAGGCTATCATGTGTTTCTGTCATGTAGCTCAGGCTGGCCTCAAATTCACTTGGTAGCCAAGGGTAACTTTGAACTTATCTTCCCACCTGACTCCTGGGAAAAATACATACCACTGTGTCCAGCTTTAATGTTCTTTCAGTGTTATAGCACTTCATGATTAACTGTATTTTTACAAAATCTAAACTGTTGGATTTTTGTTTGTTTTGAGTTGAGGTATTTTGACCTGCCCAGTTACCTGGGAGTTGATATGTAGACCAGGCTGGCTTTGAACTTGGAGCAGTTCTCTTGTTTCCACTTCCTAAATGCTGGGATTACAGACATATTCTACCATACCTGGTTTAGGAGGATGGATCAGAGTGACTTTTCATGCCATTGTCTCATGGGGAGGTCAGGTTACCAGGTATAAGCATAGAAAAATGGCATCCTTTCCTATCTTAAGGCATTTTAATATTTCAAAGCCTTCTGTTTTGAAACTAAGTTTCATTTTAACATTTTTATTTAGAAAGTGGGCAGTTTTTAAAAGTTGTTTGACTGTGACTTGAAGGTATATTGTTACTGGGATGCACATTGTTTACATTCCAGTGGTTGCCTTTAACAAGTTACTACAAGCTAGGCAGCTTAAGACAACAGAGATTTATTCCTTTACAGTTCCGGAGGCTAGAAGTGTGCAGTAGTGGCTGGTTCTCTCCGGGGCTCTGAGGAGAACCTGTCCCACTTCTCTCTCCTGGCCCCTGGGAGGTGGTGGCAGTCCTTGGCCTTTGACTGTGGTTGTACCACTCTTACTCTTATCTTTTTTGTTGTCACATGACTGTCTTCTTTGTGTGTTCTTCCTCCACCAGCCCATCTCTGGATTTAAGGCCCCCTCAGAGCCATTTTAAGTCCTCATTTTAGTGAATCACATTTGCTGGGACACCTTCCAAATAAGGTCACATTCTGAGGTTACATATGAGCATGTTTGGGGGAGGCGGCACTATTTACTCCATTGTCCACACATAGTTTACAGGTGGTTTAGTCACTAGACAGGAAGTATGTTGTTTCACACTGTATATGTTGATGAGACAGGGAGCAGATTTAGTGTAAGCAATCTCCAGTCTTATGACTAGGAACCATTTGGTTCCCTCATTCAAGATAGAACTATATTTTTTTAAATTATTTTTTGAGACAGGGTCTCACTATGTAGTCTTAGCTGCCCTTTGAAATTTACTGTGTAGACCAGGCTGGCCATGAACTCACAGAGATGCCTATCTGTTTCTGGAATGCTGGAATTAAAGGTGTGCACCACCATGACTAGCCTCAAAATAGAACTATAAAATAAAATAGGGTTTAAGTCTTTTTTAAGAATATATGTATGAGAAGGCAAGTCCAAGAAGGGGTATGTAGCTCATTTACAGAGGCTTCCCTGGCATGCATGAAGCCCTGAGTGTGATCCTTAGCATTGAGCAGAAACCAAAAAGCAATCAAACAAAACAGCCCAAACCCAGTTGCAGACCCTAACCTCCAAATTCCCAAACCCAAATTATTGAAAATAGTGAGCCATTACAATTAGAAAAACAAAAATATGTTAGTATGTTAGTTTTTTTTCTTCCCCCCCGAGACAGTGTTTCTCTGTAGGCCAGGCTGGCCTTGAACTTACAGAGGTCTGCCTGCCTCTGCCTCCCGAGTGTTGGGATTGAAGATGTGCACCATTGCCACCTGGCTGTGTTACAGTTTTTATGCATAGTAATTTGGTAATATGAAAATTTTAAATGCTTTTTCTTGGATCTAAAATTATAAAATACCCATCTATAAATCTAAAAATGCAGTCACTTAATCTAAAAGTACAATATCACTTAGCAACAGGGATAAAGTCTAAGATCTTACATTTGTACCCTTTCTTCCTGTCACATTTAAGTCCTTTCCAGTTCAGAACAGAATAAAGAGACTATCCTTATCTAGCCAGGCAGTGGTGATGCACGCCTTTAATCCTAGCACTTGGGAGGCAGAAGCAAGTGGATTTTTTTGAGTTCAAGGCCAGCCTCATCTACACAGTGAGTTATGGGATGGCCAGGGCTACACAGATAGGGGGAAAAAACCCTTTTTCTTGAGTTTCAATTCTGGCTAGCAAACATAGTCTTTACCCCCTTTCTGCAAGAGTTTTGTTTTGTGCTCATTTTGGCTTTTTGTTTCTTTATGATCCTGTATATAGATATTGCAAGTGAATTCAAAGAGCAGTTGCAGGCACTGATACCGTATGTACTAAACCCATCTAAGTTAATGGAAAAGGAGATCAATGGCTCCAAAGTCACCTGCCGGGGACTGTTGGAATATTTTAAGGTAAATATGAGTTTTAGTTCTAAACTTTTTTTTTTTTTTCCGTAAAATTGATTTTAACGTTAGTAGTTTTCTCGGGGAGATGGTCAGAGGCATTTTACAACCATGGTATCCTTCCAGGAGTGGGCCACTGGGTGGCAGTATGGGCATAAGAACCAAATGATGTTCTTTGCACTCTCTTAGAGTAGTCATTACCGTGTCTTCAAGGAAGATGATGTGGACAGGAGGTGGTTAGGAGGTTGCTGTGAGTAGGAGACGCACGTAAATGGGACGCAACTATCTCCAGGTGGATGGTCTCTGCCCACAGGTCGTGGTGAGACCATTGTGCATGGGGGCCTGACTGGAATCTTGGCCTTGGTAGGCTTGTGCTGCTTGAGAGTACTTTTAGATAACTAAAAATGCTAACATGCACTCAGAAGTGTGTCCTGCTTCTGCTAATTCTTGATTGTTGATCTAGGATTTTAGGAAAATGCAGTTGTGTGGTTTCACTATTTTAAAATATGAGCAAAATATTTTAGAATTGTATTTTTGTGATTGCTTCTATGTTTATATTTTAAGGCATATATTAAAATTTACCAAGGAGAAGATCTGCCTCACCCAAAATCCATGCTTCAGGTAATAAAGTCTTTGGTATCCTAAATTACATGTTTTAATTGCTGGAATTGGCCCAGATATGACCTAACTGAGTCCTGAAGACGAGAGCAAGACCACTCTCCTTTTTATAGCCTTACCTTGACTTTTGAGAGCACATTTGCAGCAAGTGTGGTACCCTCTGCTTCATCTGTGTTCTCTGTAGGGCAGTTAGTGCATCTGGGGCTGCTCTCCTTTCACCACTCACCTGAGAAACACTGCTTTGCTATACGCAGCTGGAGTAGACTCGCTGTGTTAGACAAGCCACTTCCAGGCACTGGTGCTGTACTTGGGTATAACTTCTGGCTCTTTTCCTGAGGATTCTTTGGTCATTTGGTTAAACAGCTTCACACTTTCATGTGCTGAATATGTGGGCATTTATTGCTAAATACTGATTTCTTTAGTAGCAAAATATTTTCACAAAATCACTGGACCTCGTGATTGATAGTATAAATGAACTTTTTGCCCTTGTTTTTTGTTGTTCTTATTTTGAGGCACTGGGATTAAACTCAGGTGCTCACCTTATAGGTTAGGTAAGTGCTCTACCACTGAGCTTCCTCCCCAGTCCAAAGAACGCAGCTGTTAAGGTAGAAATTGAAGTAAAGGGAATTATATTTTCTTGAGTTTTGGAGGTTTGGTTTATACTAAAGATTCTTAAGTGCTAGGATAGATGTTTTGGCACAAAATTTGGCAAAAGTATATATTTTATCAGTTGAATTATATGAAAATATAAATAATGCCAGGTTAATAAAAAAGAAAGAATGAGAATAAGAGATATTTTTGCTTGGTTTCTGGGAAAAAGTTTCAAGAAGTATTTAAAGTCCATACTTTTCTTTCTTAAAAGGCCACTGCGGAAGCCAACAATTTGGCAGCTGCAGCCTCTGCCAAAGATATTTATTACAACAACATGGAGGAGGTATGCTGGTAACACCTTTTTTCTGAGTGTCTGTTTCTCTATTTCCTGAGCATGACTGTTGACTTCAGAGGACCAAACTTTATCCTACTCAATGTAGCCTTTTTGTTTGAGATAGGGTTTTATGTACTAGGCTGCCCTGAAAATCACTGTGTATAGAGGTTGGCTTGAAATGTCTGATTGTACTGCCTTTACCTCACTAATGCTGTGACACAGGAATGTGCTTTAAAGATTTGTTTGCACTTACGAATCTTTGTGCATTTATGACACATATATGTGGGTGTTCACGGACGCCAGAAGAGGGCGTTGGATCCTCTGAAGCTAAGGTTTCAGGTGTTTGTGAATGGCTTAGCATGCGTGGTGGAAATGTAACCTGGTTATTTGGGAAAGCTGAAAGCCCTCTTTAAACTATTAGCTGTTTTTACAGTCCCAGCTTAATGTGTCTTAAGATGATGAGACACAAAGCTGTTTTTCAGGTCACCCTGGTAATTGGGATGTTCTAATTATTTTTAAAAATTTTTTCTTTTCTTTTGAAACAGAGTCTGTGTGATTGGAATCTTCTAGTTATTTTTGTTTTTCTGAGACAGGGTCTTGATATGTAGTCCAGGTTGGTCTCAAACTCATGACAATCCTCTCATGACAAGTCTCCTGAGTCTTAGATTGCAAATGTGTGCTGCTATGTGTATTATTTCTTTTCTTTTAAGATTTACTATTTATTTATGTGTATCTGTACCTGTAGGTACCTGAGTAGGCCAGAGGTGGGCGTTAGATCCCTGGAGCTCTAGTTACAGGAGGTTGTGAACTTCCTGATTGTTTGCTGGGAACTGAACTGTGTATGTGAGAGCAGCAAGTGTTCTTAACTGCTGAGCCATCTCTCCAGCCTCTCTGTGTCTGGTTATTAACCATTTCTTTCTTTTTCTTTTTTTTTTTTTAGATTTATTTATTAATTATGTGTACAGTGTTCTGCCTGCATGTATCCCTGCAGGCCAGAAGAGGGCACCAGATCTCATTACAGATGGTTGTGAGCCACCATGTGGTTGCTGGGAATTGAACTCAGGACCTTTGGAAGAGCAGCCAGTGCTCTTAACCTCTGAACCATCTCTCCAGCCCTATTAACCATTTCTAACCAAGCTTTCTTGAGTATTTTTGTTCTTTCTGATTAGTGTTACCCTGTTTTTTCTTTTCTTTTTTTTTAATTTTAAAATTAATTATCATATTTGTATACAAGGGCTTGCTATGTAGCCCTGGTTGGCCTGGAATTTATATAGACCAGCTCCAGCTCTATCTCTTGCCTCTGCCTCCTGAGTGCTGGGATTATAGATATATACTAGTATGTCTGGCTTTGGCCTTGGCTATTTGTCTTTTCTGACTTTTAAAAAAAATTTTATATGTGTTGATATTTTTGCCTGCATGTATGTCTGTGTGAGTGTTGGGTCCCTTGGAACTGGAGTTACAGACAGTTGTGAGCTGCCATGTGGGTGCTGGGAATTGAACCTGGGTCCTCTGTAAGAGCAGTCAGTGCTTTTAACCACTGAGCCGTCTCTGCAACCCCCTTTCTGACTTCTTATTAAAGTAGGATCTCGTGTAGCCTAGGTGGGCCTCAAACTCTATGTAGTTGAGAATGACCTTGGACTTTCTGATCTTCCTGTAACCACCTCTGGAATGTTGGGATTACATATGTGCACCACAATACTGATTTATATAGTATTGAGATTGAACCCAGGGCTCTGCACACTAGGCAAGTACTCTATCATATGTGTTATGTCCTCAGTCTCCCTTGAATATTTTCTGAAGTTAACTTCTAAGCTTTTTTTCTAAACTCCTAAGAGCATTCTCATCTTTGCTGTCTCTTTTTACTTGTTTTATTTGGTATGAACAAGAATTTTCATCATGTGTTTCTGTTTTTTTTAGGTTTGTGGGGGAGAGAAACCTTATTTGTCTCCAGACATTTTAGAAGAGAAGCACCAAGAATTCAGACAACTCTCTTTGGACCACTTTAAGAAGACCAAAAAGATGGGCGGGAAGGATTTCAGCTTCCGTTACCAGCAGGAGCTGGAGGAGGAAATCAAGGAACTGTATGAGAACTTCTGCAAACACAATGGCAGCAAGAATGTCTTCAGCACCTTCCGAACCCCGGCAGTTCTGTTCACAGTCATAGCAGCGTTGTACATAGCCTCGGGCTTCACTGGCTTCCTTGGGCTTGAGGTTGTGGCTCAGCTGTTCAACTGTCTGGTTGGATTGCTGTTAATAGCACTCCTTACCTGGGGGTATGTCAGGTATTCCGGTCAGTATCGTGAGCTCGGTGGAGCTATTGACTCTGGTGCAGCATATGTGTTAGAGCAGGTGAGTGGTGCTGGCTGAGGCTGAAGCTGGGGGTGCGGGGGTCTGTGGTGATTGTGCTTATGTTGTAAAATTTGGAAGAATTTCATAGTGAAAAAAGGGGTTAAGCCCATTTTCTGATAGGCTTTATATTTTATTTTTTTTTAGTATTAATATTTAATCCTGATACTTCGTTTTAATGCCGAAAATGGCCCTAAAAAAAGTCTTTGATCTACTGTGTTTCTCCTGGAGCAGTTTTATTTTTATTTTTAATTAATTGTTTTTGTTAACATGTGAAGTAGTGGGGTTCTTTATGGCATCTTCATATATACTATCATTTATATCTTCAAAATGCAATTTTTTTTCCTTTTTTATTTTTCAAGACAGGATTTCTGTGTAACAGTCCTAGCTGTCCTGGAACTCGCTCTGTAGACCAGGCTGGCCTTGAACTCACAGAGATCGCCTGCCTCTGCTTTAAGAGTGCTGGGATTAAAGTCGTGCGCCACCACTGCTTGGCTGCAAATGGTTTTTGAGATTGACATAATCTGAGATTTTTTTTTATTTTTAAAGTTTAAGTTTGTTACTATTGTGTGTGTTGTGTTGTATATGATATGTAATGTGGGTGTATGAGACCCAGAACACAAGATGTGAAGGTTAGAGGACAACTTTGTGGAGTCAGTTTTTGTCATTTACCTTTATATGGGTTCTGGGAATTGAACTCAGGTGGTCAGGGTTGAACAGCAAGTATTTACATGATGAGCCATCTTGCTAGCCCATTTAGGTTTTTGTTTGTTTGTTTGAGATAGTCTCATGTTGCCTAGGCTGGTTTCAGAGTTCGTAATATAGAAGATGAACTTAAACTCTCGAACTTCTGATTTTGCTGTCTCTAAGGAGCTCTTAAGTGCTGTAAGTGCTTGGGGTATAGGCATATCCTATATGCTATACCTGGCTGAGCTCCAGTTTTCATAAATTGATTTTTGAGAAAGGGTTCTTCCATAGTTTAGGATGGCCTGGAACTTACTGTGTAATGCAGACTGGCCTGAAACATCTATAATCCTTCTACCTCAGCCTCCTGAGTACTGAGATTGCATTGCAGGTGTGTATCACTACAGCTGGTCATTTGTATATTTTTAGCACAAGTTTATTTCTTTTTCTGTAGCATAAACAGATCTATTAGGTCAACGGTGTGAAGCCTCCACCTCCTCAGTAGAGGAGCATATGCTCCACTGACCCTTAGGAGTCAGCTATGGCCGTGGTTTCCTCTCACCACTTGGTCTCATTCACTGCTGATGAGGAAAGATATTTAGAAGTTATGGCCTAGGACTTAGGTGTTTATTTTTTTTAATGCTGTGTGTAGTTTAATAACTAATACATTAACTAAATGAACTTTTGCAGGCTTCTTCTCATATTGGTAATTCTACTCAAGCTTCAGTGAGGGATGCCATCGTTGGGAGACCACCTACGGATAAAAAGGCTCAATAGCATCTTAATGGCAAGATTCAACAAAAGCCCAGTCAGCACCTGTATTTCTGCTAATGCCATCATGGGTCCAGTTCCAGAGGAATGGCTGATCCGAGACCATCCTGGAAGAGCTGAGACAGGGCACCATAATAAATGAACTGACCTCTCCTATGGTTTCCAATTCCACTTGTCTTGGAAGCATTTCTTTTTCTTGCTGACAGACCCAAGGCTACTCTCTTCTCTCTTTGCTTTGTGCACTTTAAGGGGTGGGGGTGGGGGCCAAAAGGAAAACATGGAAATGCAGCTTTTAAGTCTTTGATGTGCCACATAGTGCCTTTTAGGACCAGTCCGTGCCTCTGCCAGCCAGGAAGGCTGAGGAATGGAGGACAACCTCATGAAATGTGGTTTTGGATCAAGTTCTCTTGGATTTTAGATTTCAGTTCTTTTGTACCTTTGAAATTTGTTTTTCAAAAATTTATACAACTTGAAAAAGGCTCAGAACTAAAGGCCAACTGAAATGATACTTATTATACTTACACAATTCCCCCAGTACTGGTGATTGAACCTAGCACCTGACAGGCTAGGCGATTGTTCTACCCTGGAGCTGTCCTTGCCCGCTTGACTGTGCAGTCTCAGGTCTTGAAATTACTTTGTTCCCAGGCTGGCTGTGAGCTGTCCATCTTCTTCCTTCCTCTCTAGCTTCTTGAGTAGCTTGAATACAGACCTGGCTACCTTGCTTCAAAACCTTATTTATATGAATTACCTTTGCTATACAGCATGGAAAAAATTAAATCATTTAATATTCTGTGTTGGAGAATATAAGGTCTTTTACACAGTACGCTGGCAGTTTTATTGAACTTACTTTTTAATTTTTATTCCTATAGATTCTTTCTAGAAAAGAGACAAACAGTTCTTAAAAAAAAAACCAAAAAACAGTGGTTAATAATGAGCTAGATACTTCATGGTAAAATTGTAGTTCGACTGAACCATGTGACCTCTGATAAGTCACTTGAACTTGTGTTTTGGTCAGATTCACTGTACATTTATGTATGTATGTGTCACTCTCAAAATTAGTAATTTTCTTTTTTCTTTTCTTTTTTTTTTTCGAGACAGGGTTTCTCTGTGTAGCTTTGCGCCTTTCCTGGAGCTCACTTGGTAGCCTAGGCTGGCCTCGAACTCACAGAGATCCGCCTGGCTCTGCCTCCCGAGTGCTGGGATTAAAGGCATGTGCCACCACCGCCCGGCCAAAATTAGTAATTTTCAACAGAGAAAAGACATTACCAAATATTACTTCTTTTAATTATTGTTCAATTTCATGTTGCTTAGTGGTAATACCAAATAATCATAATCTGATCTAAAGTCTTTATTCAAACTTTTTATCGGGGGTGATGTCTCACTGTGTTGCCCTGGCTGGCCTGGAACTTTCAATACAGACTAGGCTAGCCTTGAACTCATAGAGATCCTCGTGCCTCTGTGTACCACTGTGCCTGGCCCCAAACTGCTTTTTATTCTGTGTACTGTCCAGTGTTCATAATATCAAAGCTAAACTGTTAATTTTACTTAGTTAACTTTCCTTTTTTTCCCTTGAAGAAGGCACTCAGTCTAGCTGAACTATTTAAAATTCCCTCTTGATTCTCCTTTTGGTTAGATTGGCAGTTTTAAAATAACTGGCTTATGAAGGACAATTGTTCAGACTCTAAAATTTCCTTTTTACATTTACCTTGATTATGTGATGAGGTTTTATCTTTTTTTTTTCCTTTGACTTTGTAAATGGTGAATTATTGTGAACTTAAACCTTAAAACATACCTGCAGGTGTAGAAGCCTTAAGTTGTTTTTAGGTAATTTGAAATTTTGTTATGGGAAGGAGATAGACTGGTTTTGGCAAAACCTAGTAAAATTTTTATGTACATGAAGTATGAATGGAAGGTAGAAAAAAAAGGAAGTCTTGCATTTAATTTCCTTATCAGAATTTTCTTCTAAGTTTTCCAATCAAGGATTTAAAAATTCTAAATCAATATTAAGCATTTTACATATTTTCATACCATCTTGTCCTGAAATTCTTAGTAATTTTTCCTTTTGTTGTGCCATCTGGGAACAATTCCAGTTTGTTTTAAAACTGTTCACTGCTTTTGAATGATGGCTGACCATGAAAGGGGTTGGAAGCTCAGTCCTATAGTTGTACAGTTTTCAGGTAGTGTCCCCTATCTGAAAGCTTGTACTGAGTGATGGGCTCTGGATACTGAGATTCAGTCAGAGAGGGTTTGGGGTATATGGTCTTGGTATGTAGTCCAGGCTGGCCTATAACTTGCTTTGTAGTTCAGACTGACCTTGAACTTAAGGTTCTGATGCCGCAGTCTTCCAGAGTGCTGAGCTTGTAGGTGTGTGTCCCCATGCCCATCTCTAGTTCTACTCTTTTTACTTGTTTTGATTTTTGGTTTTTTTGAGACAAGACAGGGTTTCTCTGTGTAACAGCCTGGCTGTTCTGGAAACTTGCTTTATAGACCAGGCTGGTCTCACAGAGAAACCTCACAGAGATCCACTTGCCTCTGCCTGCCGAGTGCTGGGATAAAAGGTGTGCGCCACCGCCATTTGGCTCTACTCTTAATGGTGAGAAAAGATGATGTGGGAAAGATTTGCTGTAATACTTCAGTATTACATCTGTGTATGAATTTAAAGTGAATGTTTTGTTAATTAACTTATTCTGTTTCTGGTACATGTTTATAAAGTTATCTTTGAGGGTTCTTGTCCTCTTTTCTAACTTAAATTGTTGATTTTCTGTCATGTTTTTCAATACAAAATGCCTTTGATGACTGGCTAGAAGTAGTCCTGAGGAGATTCGTAACTGGTTGAAAGAATCTTTTAGCACCTCCAGCCTTTTCTTTGTGGGTCAGGGACATGGTGTAGGAGTCAGACCAGTGTCCCCACAGGCTTTCTGTGCAGGCAATGTTAATTTGTGCACTCCTGTCAATATGTGGAGCACATTCCTGTGAACAGAGATTTCCAAAACATTCCATTAAAAATAACTCACTTCAAGAGAAGCTAAATGTTGCCAAGATATTCTCGGTTTTGTTTGGGGATGCTTGGGATGGAACCCTATGGCTGTGTGTATGGCAGGTATTTGCTCTATCCACCAAGTTAACACTTCAGTTTGCCTTCTACCATCAAATGGATAGAATCACAGCTTTGAGTCCTTTGCTGAGAAGTGTCATGATTTATCACTTGCTGATAAATTTCACACATCCCTTTTGAAGAGTACCAAAAATCTGTTTCATAGATGCTTGTAACTTCTCTTTTATTTCTTTCCTTCTTCCCTCCCTTTACCCCCCTTCTCTCTTCCTTTTTCTGTGCAGCTCCAGCCAGAGGTTTATGTTTGATACTTGCTTTATACTGGGTCAAGTTGCTGTAAATATTTGTGTTTGATTTGCTTTCTTACTCACTCACTTAAGGCAGACCTGCACATAGCACATAAACGCAAGCACTGTGTTTTCTTTGCAATTTCTTTAGGAGGTCACACACAGTGGTAACTGGGATATGTAAATGAGACAAATTCAGTTGATTAATTTCAGCCCAAGCAAAATACAAAACAAAAAACATTTTTTCCCCCAAAAAGTGACATGGGAGGATTAAAAAAAGATCTATTTTGTTGGTGCCGGTTTTTTGGAATGTAATTGAATATGATTTGATTTTTCCATCAGGTGGCCAACATCTCTGCATCCTTCTACCTAGCATGTGGAGCTAATACAATTTCTGTCAGGAATGAGGATATAAGTAAGCCTCATTTAGCAAAGTATTCCCTGTTGCATGTGGCCTGTTGTAGTGGGTTACAGTTGTTTTCCTCAGGAGCTGTATTGTAGCTCTGTCTTGGACATTGGTTCTCATCTACCTTTTCATGCTTTAGACTCATCTATGGGGTGTGTTGAAAGAAAACCACTCTGCTTTCTATCTAGGGGTTGTTGTCGTTTTGCACTGTGGCTTTGAGGTCAGATTGGTGGGTGGGGGTGGGGATGGATGAGTGAGAATGAACTGATTCACTGAGTGGGAGTACTCAGACAGGAAGTGCACTTCAGCATATCCAGAAGCTTTGCCTGAAGTCTGCTGCCAGGTCTGCTCACCCAGAGTTTACTGTGTTTAGAATCATCAGGGTGCCTTAATTTAGAGGCTTGTCCAAGCTTTTTAAAGCTGTCATAGTGCCTTTTCTTACATACCTGCCCTCATACACCAACTGGTAATTAGGATTTTTTTTTTAATTTAAAAAATGTTCCATACTCTGAAGAAGCCAAATTGGGCACTGTGACTCAAATCCCTAAATTTTTGTCGTCATCGTTTTTGTTTTGAGAAAGGATCTCAGTATGTGACCCTGGCTGTTCTGGAACTCATTGTATAAACCAGGCTGGCCTTGAGTTCACAGGATCAATCTGTCTCCTTCGAATCCTGAAATCTTTTACACACAGAAAACCCTGAATGACTAATACCAATAATGAAAAAAAGGATGGGATCATAACTATGCAAGTAGTCACCTATGCACCCCAAAGTAGGAGCATCACAAGAAAGCTCTTATCGATAAACAAGAAGGTTTCCTATGGGAAAGAATCTTAGGTGCCAGACTTTAAGTTTAATGTTACGACGAAGGGAAGGTTCACATTGATGCCCAAACCTCTTTAGGTGATCAAAGTTGTTATGGATGTAAGCCTTAAAAGAGTTTAATCTTAAACATATGCAAGTTGTCCTCAATTTTATTTTAAAAATGATTTGTTATATGTACTTTCTGCTAGATCCTTGCCTTTGAATGGCTTTAAAACAATACATTTATTTTTAAAAGTGCATTGGGAAGCAATGATGCTGTTCTGTGTTGAAGGCTCATTTTTGTTTCCTTTCTGGGTTGTATATTCATATAATGGATTAAAGATTACAACACCATGTTACTTGCGTTGGTTGTTACTGTTCTTTCTTTTGGAATACCTATGGGACAGAGTGGGGCTTGGCAAGGGGAATTGACCTGGTCAGAGGTAGGGACAATGACAAGTCATCTTACTTAGCCCTTCACAGTGATACTTAGCTAGTTAGCAGTGAGCTGGAAAGGGAATTTGCCAGCTGCTTGAGAGTCAGCAGTGTGTAGTCTTGAGATTTGTCTCGTGCAGTATTTTCTAATTTGTAACACTTGCAGTGGGCTACTTGGAGCCAGAGCCAACTGTATTTAAATAGAATCTTGCAGTGGGGTGGATAGAGGGAGATCTGTGCTAAAAGCTTTCTTCTCCACTGGTGACCTGGAAGGCAGTGGGGAAGTAGTACAGTGTTTCTTCAGTCCTGAAGAAGGTTTGTGGTGGTCACTATATAGCCTTGGCTGATCTGGAGCTCACTTTGTAGTTCAAGTTGGCTTTGAATTCACAGAGATCCACCAGCCTCTGCCTTAAGACTTTAAGAGGGCTGGGATAAGTATGCCACTATATGGGGTGTTCTCGTTCTCTCTCTCTCTCTCTCTCTCTCTCTCTCTCTCTCTCTCTCTCTCTCTCT